TGATTGGGATCATAGTGTTCACCCATATATCTATTATTTGCTTTAGCGTAACGTGTAGAAATCATACTGACTCCTCCTCTGATCGCACTTTCTATGAACAAATGCATGTCAACATCTTTGAATATTTGTAATTTTATTCCTGTCATTCTAAGACAGACCTCCCATGTAAGTCCAGGAAGTGAATACATATGTACAGGGTCAAGTTTGTAATCCTTTAAACATAGGTCTCTAAATGTCTCGAACACATCAGCCAGTAGCAATACATCTGTTTTAAGATATAAATCATGATATTCTTGTAAATTATTTATATTAAAATGGGTCCATACATTTTTAGCATGTTCATATTCATTGGGAGAGATATGTTCTTTAGTTATAGAACTGTAAAATGTTTCAATTGGGGGTAGAGACTCTGCAAACTTATCTGGTCCCGTCATATATTCATAGGGATATACACCTTTACGTTGTAGTAGTGGATTTTGTATGAATCTAAATGTGTTCAAATTGGAAGCCAATTTATATAATGGAAGGGACAGAAAGTTGTATGAATCTAAAAATACTAAATCATCAACAGAGAATGATATATATTTTTCCATATCTTTAGCTATACAATTAATTTTACGATTATTAAATTTTCCCAAATGTTGCATTATTATGTGACCATCATAATTTTTCAAGTTATGGAAGAATACTGGTATTTTCTTTGTTACTTTATAGTTTAAATTACAATCATTGTGGGCAGCTCCACGGTATTGTCCAGAGGAATGGCAATGATCTCTCACCCTATCAAAATATAGGGGCTTTTCACAAATGTGACAATGTGTTGAGTTTTGGAAAGATACCTCTTGCTCAGGGGTCATTTGAAGAGGAATATATATTGCCATTTGATTTTTAATATAATCATAAGCCTGAAATAATCTTTCAAAAAACACATCCATAACATTTGTGCCACTGTACAACTCTTCAGAAATAATTTTTGAATCTTTTACTACGACAAATGCAAATCCCGATGGAATATGTATATTAGAGTTTATAAAGCATTCAAAATCTGCATAAATTACATATGGGGCTTTAAGTTGATATTTATAGTTTTTAAATTGTAATGTATCTTGTTTAGACATTTCCACTCGTTGAGCATCAAAGTTTTTACAATATGTTACATGACGTTCTAATATATCATTAGTGTAAAAATGTTGTAAACACAACTTGCAAAAATGCTGCTTATGGCCATGTTTTGTAGAGTGGAACATTAACCTATCAAAATCACGAATTAAACAATAATGTGATTTACGACCTTCTTGTAATAATAATAAATCTATGTGAGTATTACTATTTAGTTTAGTCGTTCTTAATGGATATATAAATTTATCATATTCAACCCCAAATACATTAATACTTATATCATTCTGTGTTTCAAATTTATCTATATCAGATATTTTCACAGGATACTTTATGTTTGTCATATTCAACTGACTTTCATAGGGTACATAATTAGAAACCCTTTCAGCATTGTTTGCATACCTTGGATGTAAAGCTGCTAAAATCGACCAAAGAAAGCATCTATTGTCAGAATTCTTTATATTTAAAACAGCATGTTTTGATTGAATACTTTTTGGTGTGGGGATATATGACTTTGGAGTTAGGGGTTTATACTTGTAAACATGGAACTGCCAATATTTAGTATGGTCATATATCCATCCACTGCCTTGGGCTTGATATTTGTGTATGGAAGCATCAATCTTTGAAAGTGCATTTTCAATTTGAGGCTTTAAATCTCTCTTCTCAATAGTTAAGGTAGTAAGACTTCGAAAATCTGCTATACATTCTTTTTCATTAACTAATTTACCATTTTGATCCATTGAATATTTTATAAATTTGATTCTCCTAACTAAAGTCCATTTTATCGGTAGAGGACAAGACTTCAGAGTATTTTCAAGGTCAGTTCTAATCGATTCACCAACAAATTTAATCATTGTGTATGGACATTTTATGCAAGAACTAACATGTCTTTTAAAATGTCCAACAATATTCGTTTTACAGAAATTACAACTCTTGTGACTTTGTAATATATGCGATTTTAGAGCAATGTTACTATCACAGATTAAATTACAAACTTTGCACAGTTTCACCTTCATTTGATGAATTACCTTATAGTGACGAATCATATTACTTTTGGTGGAGAGCGACACGGAGCAGTGTTGACAGGTGGGCCTCATTTTTATATATAACAAAAAAAAATTGTGTCACTTCTATTTATAGACTTTTCGAAAATTTCAAAATTTTGGAAATTTTAAAAATTTTCAGCTAGAAATTAAAAATTTATAAAAATTACTTCAACAGATCCAAGACTAGCAAGGAGCAAGCCCAAGTGAGTGACGTTTTCACCACGTCACCACTAGAGGCAAGAAACAACCATGAGTCAGGAGCGCGCCCACGCCATGAGCCGAGTTCGCGTGCAAACCACACACATACATGATTTTGAAATAGAAATATAAAATATCAACTGGAAAGGGGAATGGTAGATGTACTAGCAATTGTGCATGGGGCAGAGGGGAGTGGTGAGGAGGTGAGGGGGGAGGGGAGTTAGCCCAAAAACCCCGCACCCCAAAAAACGGCGGCGACAAACTATACTACTATACATATACACATGCATGGGTCAATAAATGAAATAATTAGTTTTTTTTTATTTTTTGCTTAATATCGAATATATTTATAGGGAATAACTAAGAAATAAGGTTTGACAATTTTATAGGGTTATTTGGGCAAAGATCAGGATTTTTGGAATTGGTGGCCAAAAAATGATCCCCATAAGAATAACATGGGAAAAACGTGTCTAAAGTGAGGTAAAACCGGCAGTTCTCCACTACTCTAGCCAATATGTGAAAAATGTCTATTGACATTTCCCTATCAACTCTATATGTTTCCAGCAAAATAAAGTTTAAAAATAATTTTTAGGTTAAAACATTGCATGAACCCAGACATCAAACAATGTACAATGAACAAAACAATGTGTAAGTCACTGATTGTGAGTTACTAATATTATACAGAACATAACACACCAAATAAACATTTATAACATCATTTTACCTTAGCTCTGAGCCCTACTGGGATTATGTATGGATAATAGGGATAGTATGCATTTAATGCACAATCAAAGTAAAAATATGTTGCAGCTAGAGTAACGGCTGGAAATAAAATAAACGAGATAATCGTTTTGTAGGATACTTAGTTCGTCGTATTAAGCTCTTAAAGCCATCAAGAGGAAACTATTGTTTTCCGAATGAACCTTCTCACAAACAGATTAGAAGTCGACTAAAGAGTTCTTAATCCTATCCTAACCCGTTCTCTTAATCGTTTTAATTTTTCTCAGTTAATTATGCTAAAACAATATTTTAACTAAGAACGAACATTGTATGATGTCTGTTTTAAATAACTGTAAAATATTGTTTTTACCAAATGGGATATAGGTATTGAATATATTGATCTTTTTTTAAATCTCATCTTCAATTCCAAGCTAAAAATCACAAAGCTACAATTACAAAAGAGAAAAATCTGACATCCAATGGCCTGGTACCATAATCTAGTTCTAGAGGTTTGCAAAATTGTTGTGTGTTGAACTAAGACACAAAAGCGCGTTTGGCAGTTGGAGCGATCGGCTGACGTAGTCGGGATCATTCGGAAAACTTCGGTAGCTATCGGCAACGTTGAATGGACTGAACAAAATTTGGGGGTTTTATTTTTTTTCATAATTGTGATTTTAGACAGTAAAATAAAATATGGAATACACCAACTAACAGTTTTCTGATAACGCTAAATATAGAGCAGTGTGTTTGCCTGTCTCTTAATGTAGACTATTTTTAGTAGACGTATAGTAATCCGCCACTGTCTTAAGTCCCTAACGTGCCGGATTAGCGAGTGTCTACTATAGTCGGATTTTTGGATGGTTCCCAAACACATTCTCAAATGTTACTATACCTTTGGTTCAATTTGGGACCTTAATACATCTATATCACACAACTATAAAACATATAATCAAATACAAAGTCGTGTTTTAAACGCGTTAAACGTTATATCTACAATTAACATACATATGGCTTCCTCGTATTCACCTATTTTTCCTCGGTTAAAAGTCTATTCACGTTCACCATATTTTCAGCTCAGTGATGGGCCTTTTGTCATGGAAATGCGTCTATCCTTCCACTTATCTGGCCTGCTTCGACAAGCGTTCAGCGTTTCGGAATATCGATATTATAATGAAGTTTACAAAACGATATTATCGAAACATGTGTTTAAATAATGGTTATTCTCCATTTTTACATTAATTTTCGAGTGGAGTCAAAAGATCCTATAAATTTTCAAAGGTTTTGTTGATCTACTTTGAAATATATTTATGTTACCAACTGTTTACTATAAAATAACTTTCTTATTATGTTTTAAGTCATGTTGTAACCTTTTTAACATTTGACATAAATCAACAAAATGGTCTAGAACAGTTTAAATTTAAACCCTACTTACACTTGTTATATTGTTCCAGGATATGAAGTAATGAACACAGCTAAAAGCTAAAAGGCTACACTGAACACAACACAATTGTAGTGTTTTTTTCATTTTTTTTACTGCAGCAAGTTTGAATGTAGAAACGTTTTAAATAATGTCCTACCTAGATTATAAAGTCGTATAGACGAGAAGGATTTGTTATTATTAAGAAAATAAGAACAATTACTATTAAGATGATCTAGCTCGTTTGGTTTATAAAATATTTATGACCAACATGTTAAAAAATTCAGGTTATGGTAACACTTAATTAACTTCATATAAAAAATTGGAAGGTTATAATTTCAAATATATAGTTATATGAATTTATTTTTGAGCTCAATAAAATTACATCAAACACCACAAGTCAACAGCAGTTTTATTGTATAAATTATCCACTAAGCAGTTACATTGATTCTTTGTAATTTATAGCACACTTTATTATAACTTCTTTACATTTTGTATTTCAGTCCCTCCAGTCATCAAGGTGCCAAATCAGCTGTTAGGAGCTCCATTGGGAACAGATGTTCAACTGGAGTGTTCAGCCGAAGCTTATCCGAACACTATCAACTACTGGAAAAAGAACATGGACCAAGTTATTTTACCAGGGTGAGTTTCATAGTTATACGAGTTGTTATTAACCAATAAGTTCCAACTTTTGATAGTAACATGAAATATAAATACTTGCTGGAAATTGAGAAATTAAATACAGTTGACAATTTATAAATAAACCCCATTTAAATTTGAATTTAGTTACTGTATGTTTTGTTCTTATGTTGACATATTTTTCAATGGAATTTGCTACTAAACAGTTTTAGCACTCGTAAATGTTGTATGTCTTGAAGATTTTTAGTTATTGATCACCAATACATAAGTGCATATACAAGTATAGAGAGTATTTCTAAGATAATTTAAAATGGTAATGTAGCTTTCGTTCATTTTTGTGTACCGACAGTACTACAGTCGAGATCGAAGAAGTAAAAACGGTGTCAGAAAGGTTTACATGCATATATCTCACTACATTAAAAACCAAGTTATTATTATTTCTTGCAAAATTCAGAAAAGAAATGTTTTCCAGCATGGTTGGAAATAAGGAAAAGTATAAAATGTAAAAGTTTATTTATTACTGTAATTATCAAACATGTAATGTACCTAAAAGGTTTCTATTTGCTTACAGGCCTAGGGTTCAGATAGAAGAAGTACGGAACTCTTACAAAGTCCACATGAAGTTGTCCATAAAGGCTTTCAACCAAAGTGACGTAGGAACTTACATGTGTGTCTCGTCCAATTCGATGGGTAACGCTGAGGGCATTGTTAGGCTATACGGTGAGTAAATTCAGTACTATATTTTTACCAAGCTGTATGATTCAATTATTAGATATTTAACTAGCAGTAGGCATCACCTAGTTATCAAAGGTCATTGGGTTGATCACGAAAATGGTCACTGGATTTTTGATAATTCAAACCTAGACCAAGCTGCCTTAATCATTGGGTTTTCAGTAAATAATTCTGGGTAATGAAACAGCTGATTCTGGTAATTACCAAAGCTACACAGTGCACAGATCATCTCACACCATTATACAGTATACACTCACTGTCATTCACATTTGTCTTTAAATACGCACAAAAGTGTGCTGTCTTACAGAACCGATTAAAAAAGTACTTTTTTTACTCCCTTGTTAGTTTAAAAGATTTTATCAAATTTAGCTTTAATAAAAAAGGTAGTAAGTGCACACAATGATGGAAAATATAAAACCCGTTGATACGAACAGACAATTTAACTGATTTGATTGAATTCGTATTTATTTGTAGCTTCTAAAAGTGTATTAGCAGATGATATGTATGTTTTACCATAGTAGGTTGGCTATTAAACCACTGATATTATCTAATGTAACTCAAAGGATACATTTGTCCAACGTTTTGGAAGACTTGCTACGTTTTTTCATATAACATTACAAGTTTGCTATAAAAACTATTATTACAATTAATGCTTCCAATTTTTTTATATTATGTGTTCCCTTATTTCAGAAATCAAAATCCCGACAGTGCTTCCAACTACTACTACTACAGAGGCAACAACTTTTACAATTCCACGTAAGTTGTCACTTAATATTATAATTTATATACATCGTGTTAATTGAAGCCGAACTTTTTTGTGTGGTTACGTTCAAAGATGACTAGTTAGTCCGTAGAATTTATATTCTTACCAAGAATTACTGTTTTAATTCACAAATAAACGTGACGGGTAAATATATTAAACAGCACTACTCCAAAAAATATATATATATTTAATTTTTTAATATGCACTGAAGAGTTTTTTGCTCGATATTAAAGTTATAGCATATACAGTAATGCCCGTAATATTCTGTTAGGGTGAATATAAAAAATCTCAAATCGACAGGCTTTTAACGAAAACCTCAGCAGTACATAAAAAAGGAAATAATGCTTATGAAATCATGTGTTCTATTGTTTTATGCTTGTTATGTCCTTTTAAAAATTATGTAAAATCCTTTAAAACAATATTCACGATGTTCTTCACATAATCTTACAATTTCCTCTATGTGGTTATCACTTAAAGTATATCATAATAAAAAAGAAAGGTTGTCAACTTAAAATCAAAAAGACAAACACATATTTTCATCTTAAAATTTAAATACGATGTTTTTCAATGAAGACATTAATATTAACCTCCTCCATCAATAAATAGATAAAACGCATATCCTTGCATATGCATATGATTCTGTATTTGTGTGTTTGATTATTTTATATTAAACTGAGGATTCATTGCATTTTTCTAGGATTGAGTCTTTCATTTGTATTTATAATAATTATTAATATAGTTTGGTGTTTGTGTATAGTAATAAATTTCCTTTCCAGGGAGAGAGACAACCACTACTACAGAGATGACCAGGGTAATACGTACAACAACACAAGGTGAGACTTGTCATCTGATTATACATCACAGATCAGTGTGACATGCTATGTGTCAATCAACCCTGGGGATGACCTCTTAAATTACGTATTATCATTGTATTATGTACTATATATGATAGGAAATAATTTTTATTTATGAAAGAATTGTGAAAACGATACTTAACTACCAAACATTGAAGTGTTGATTTAGATGATAACACCATTTATAATATTTTATGAATGCAGAAACTGCAACTAAATTTGTAGATTGTATTTTTTGTAAGATGTATTTTTAAACATACAATACTTTTGATGGTTTAGCTAAAAATGAAAACATAAATATATGGTCAAACCAAACTACCAAACTGTGTAATGAATTACGAAATAATAACGATCAAAATTTGCCCCAGTTTAAAACCTCTTAGTATTTTAAACAATGAATGTATAAACCTTACACATTGCATAGTAGTTTAACTTCTGTACTCTTAAATAGTAGCCACGCTAACAAATGGGGCCTTGAGCAAAACACAAACTAATACCTCTGCAAAATTGACCTTGTGTATGAATTTTATATTGAAAATTTTTTATAACATAGAATAAACAACGAGATTCAAGTTATTAAAACGTTAATCGTTTTGCCAGTGGTGATAATTTTGCAACCATCAATAATAACAAATACTTACTCCCTACACTTTATAATTAGAGTTTACAAATCTTCGTAATACCAACTCATAATGTTTTCACTCGCCCCTGACCTCCATAGGCCATCCCCTCCTCTGATGCACAGATTATGTAAAAAGCCTCTCACTCTAACTACGTATTTCTAGGAAAAATATAAAGAATACTAATTATATACACCTCTACTATACTTTTCCTTTTAAATCTTTGTGGAAGTAGGCCCGCAACAAACGCCTTCCACCGTTAATCTGTGCCACTTTTCCAATCCTAACTCTTGTCCTCTTAATCTCTTTGTAAATTTAACTTGTAAAATACAAAAATTTCACTTTCCCTCCAAAATGTTACAGACCCTCTCTACGCCACTCCGTCAAGAACACGGGAAATCTACGTGGACCACAACGAGCACGAGGTGTCCGGTATCTCTAGCAGACAACACATCACGAGCGGAACCTCCCTCCACTCTCAGCAAACCTGCGTCCTCCTCACCCTCTGGATACTCTGCCTCTCCTGCAGATGACGCCTGTAGTCCCTCCTGTACAACTACACGATGCTCACATAGGATAGACTAGTTGAGGTTCTGTACCAGAGCCCATGTTCTGAGATGTTAGTGTAAATGTAACATGAATTTTGTACTCGTTGTTCATGTTGTAACCGATTTGTTACCTGAATATTTTCAATGCTTATTTTTTATAAGAGCGTTAAGTAGATGAATAATCATTGAATAGTAGCTTACCGCGTTATATACAGATGTTTATAATGGTATTAGTGTAATTATATGTAAATATTCTGTAAGTTGAATTTGTAAAATAATGTAATTTTAATTTACAATGAGTTAAATTTGTTTTGTAAGTTACGCAGTATAACGTAAGCTTAACTATTGTGATAATTTACTTCCATTTACTTAATAAGTTAGTGACAGGTTAGTTGATAAGGTCATGATAGATAACGTAAAATAAATATTCCATATCAAGATACTAACATTAGTTATAATAACCTATATCTGTTGATACATATCTTGTAATAAATCTGTTATTTTATTATCAATAAAAAGTAGACGTGTTGGACGTAAAAGATTTGAAACATTTACTAAATGGAAAACACTTTTATATTACTTTATATTGATATTACTTTTTAAAGAAGCATTTACAAGATGAATACAAAGGTTAGAGCCTGGAATCTGCTTTTTAATCAATAATTTAATATTTTAATTTACTAATTAAAACACTTTAATATAGAATTGTAATACATGTAAACATATAAAATCTGAAACTTTACATGGATTAGGAATGGGATATAAACTTGATGTCAATCTAATAAATGACCAAATTGTCCGCTAAACCATGAAGCTACAATAAATGGAAATAACCAAACGGATTCATTATTTATTTAATATTTAAAAAGGTTATGAGTACAGGTAAAATCCTTTTACATACAGTTTAGTGTAAAACTGAAAATGTGATCAGATTTTCAATTTAAAATGCTAACTTTATTTTAGCATGAGGATAAGGGACTGAAATAAGAATCTTCCGTAAGCAATGGTGATTTCTTCTTTGTAATCTTTTCCTTTAAACTGGGAAGATATTGTTTACAATTTTGAAGATGTATTCATGTAACAATAAATGGATTTTAATGTTAGATGTCCCTGGTGGATGTAACTGTCAATAAGTATTGAGTAATTTATATTGGGCCAGAAAAACGAATTGTTTTATAAACAATTTGGCCTTTGCTTCATCGTAAAACTGATAAAACTAAACTAATTTAAGGGTTCAAATCCTTAGATTTTGTTACTAATAAAAAAAACATGAACACTCTGAAGTATGCAGTTTATTTTATATTTATACTGAGTAAATTTTATATTTTCATAATTATTCTCTTCGAAATAACAAAAAAATATTTTTCAACCTGGTTAAACTCGGAATTTGGGGGTTTGGAAATACTAATTATGTGTAATAGGTGAATTTGTTTATAGATATAAATAATGATTTTGGGTTTGCTTTTACATTAATAAAAGAAGTTCCTCGACAAAAATAAACATGATCATGCTGTTTTCTAAAATAACCATTAATTGAATCAGTGTTTTAAACATGGCTGTTGTATTAATCAAAACTTTAATCTGCTCCATGATATAATTTGGTTGGTAGATAGTTATGTAATAAATATTAAATTTACTACAGCTTAAAAATTAAAGAATACTGTAAGGACATAATATTTGTAATTAGACAAGTATAAGTTTGATTTATGAAGATGATATTGGCAACAAATAATACAGGTTTGTACAGGAACAATATTTATGTATTGAAATATAAAAATATATGGATTCTATTGAATTTGGACCATTATTATAACCTATTTCTTGCTGTTTTTAAGTTTTAAATAAGAAGATATATACCAAATGTATATGATTTTAAGACTGTAATTTTTACATAAGGTGGAATGAAGCATTTAGCCTCAAACAACATGGATTATGGTTTTAATAGAATTTTTGTAGCTACATATTTTTTATAACATACTTATTGTATATGTACTTATTTTTGATTCATTTCTGAGTATAGCTCCTAAATATATTACCATTGTATATATCACCCAAAGATTAAAGAGGATACATTTATCAGAACTGAAATTGTCTTATAAATGTGATAAAAATAATAGTTTATCATCGTTACTTATTTAATAAAATCCAATTTTAAAGAAAATTATATAGAATAAAATCTAAAATAGTCATGTTGCTTTTAAAACTTTTTTAAATATTATATCAAGTTTATATATTCTTAAAAAAACTTAAATATACTGAAAGAAACACTACGTTTTGAACAGTTTTAAAGTCATAATAATGTATAAATTATTTTCGGATTTACATTTTCTGTTGCCACCCTTTTGTTATTTAACCGTAGATATGAACAACATCCTTTTCTTATAATAGTCGATAATGACTGGTATACAATTAATTAGAGATAGTCCAAACTGCTTGTAAGAATACTTCAAAGTATGCTGTCTATAAACAATTACACAATATGTTTTGTTTAAACGATAACAATTTTTTATTAATGATACATCTTTGCAATGAATTTATTTCATGCAATATTGGTGCAAAAACTATGTATGATATAGTTTGGGCTAACATTTTATTTACCTTTTCTCTTACAGAATAAATCGTAGCTGTAAACAATTCTCCTATGACAGCCTAATTTTGCCAGAAAATGAAATTTCAGTAATAAAAAATATTTATGTTCAGAAGCGGGAAGCACTTGAAACAAAACAAGATGAACTTTCACCCGGAATTGTTCTGTCATGAGGCTCCACCGAGGCCATCCATTAGCTTTATCTTTCATCAAAACAACAATACAATTTACTGCCGTAATCTCTCTACTATTCCCTGTTTAGGTCGTAATATCTTTAATGAATATTAACGCAGAATTATGAATGATCTATGATCAAATTGTAGGGTGTATTAATATTATAAAAAAACAATTTAAGACTTTTAATATATATAATAAATAACTTGGTAGTTTTGTATTATACCGACCACACCTAATAATTATAACCCAACCTAACCTAAGGGCGGACTATGTTCTAGGTTTAGTCCAGTCAAGGAATGAGGTGTAGAGTGCGTGAGCAGGTAACTAAGCGATTCCTTCAGAAACTTGTTCAGGGGGCTTAGGGTGTTAACATACCAAAAGTCCTGACTCCTAGGTGGTGAGCCAGGGGGAGGAGGGGGGAAAAAGGGGGGGAAAAAGGTACGCATTTTGGGTTTTTTGATTATATCTCGAAAACTATCAACTTTTTGTATTCTATAGTAAATTATAAAATTAAAGAAGATTAAATTTTCTACAAGAAAAGTATATAATGTGTTTATTTTGGTTCAACATATTACGAGTTATAACTTATTTAATTGATATCTTATTAAAATACTCCTTCCATAAGAAATACATGTAAATTAGTATGCGAAATGGGGCGAATCCTATCCGCCCAAAGGAAATATAAATGATATTCTGGAAATCTTGACAAAATTTCCAGTAATTTGACACTTTAATCATTAAATTTGATCCAAAATTAAGGCAAGGGCGAGGTAACAAAATGTCGAGTTTTGGTGTTTTTTATTGGAAATATAAAAAAAAACCTTAAAACATCCCATTTTTAAACGCTCACCCTCGCTTTAATTTTTGACAAAATTTCATGATTTAAGTGTCAAATTACTGGAAATTTGGTCAAGATTTCCAGAATATCAGTTATATTTCCTTTGGGTGGATAGGATTCGCCCCATTTCGCATACTAATTTACATGTATTTCTTATGGAAGGAGTATTTTAATAAGATATCAATTAAATAAGTTATAACTCGTAAAATAAACACATTATATACTTTTCTTGTAGAAAATTTAATCTTCTTTAATTTTATAATTTACTATAGTATACAAAAAGTTGATAGTTTTCGAGATATAATCAAAAAACCCAAAATGCGTACCTTTTTCCCCCCCTTTTCCCCCCCTCCACCCCCTGGCTCACCACCTAGGAGTCAGGACTTTTGGTATGTTAACACCCTAAGCCCCCTGAACAAGTTTCTGAAGGAATCGCTTAGTTACCTGCTCACGCACTCTACACCTACTTTTGGATCATTCATTGACTGGACTAGTTAGGTTAGGAAGATTTTGTTATTTAAACTAATTAAAATCTTATATGGAAGTACATTTATCGATCTGGTCAGTATACCAAAGTACCAATAACTTCATTATCGTTATAGCAGGTTTTTTTAATTTACTGAAAAGAAGTACAAAATATGGATAAAACACTTGGAAACATTTTACCACCTACAGATGTGGCTTACAAGATGGTGAATACAGTTTAATGAGTAGCTGACCAATTTTGATTAAGCTTTCTAAACACTATCAGACCCAGTAGGTGATAATTGAAATGTCCAATCAAAATCGATCACCAATACGAGTATTGATATCGCTTAAGAATTAAAATATATATTTTTATTATAATTTTTCCCAACTAGTTATCATATAGGTTTTTAAAATGTATTCTCCTAGTTTCTTTATTTGTTTGTACTTGTCGTAAAACATTTGAAACAATATGTTGTACGTTTAAATAATATTTAGGTTTTTTTTCAACTTAAACATTTTTTTATTGATTACTTTTACTGTAGTGTACCATTCTGATTTATATAAATCAACAGTGAGAAACTATAGGAAACGAATGCATGACATTTTCACCACACGAGATAAATTTAAGATACCAAACTTAATTTAAAACTTGTCTTTCAGTATATACGCGCATATATACATGTTATGAAGAGCAATAATGCTCAGAAAGAATCTTTTATGTTCGTACAAGCGTGAGATTAAAATTTCCAGACAAGCTTTGATGACGCATACAAGGTTCTATTTTTGTAAATACGTATTATAAGATGAGAACTTCTTATGAAGTGTATAACCTTAGGTGAGAGATAAAACCTATTTATTATATTAAAGTATATTTATTCCTAACAATCTTAAACCTAATTTAAAAAGAGTTATACAGTATAAATAAATCTGAAAACAAGGTAACACATGATAGTAGCCTATTGGTAATCGTAATATCATCAGTTTTAAAATAATGTAAAATAACTGCTGTTGTTGTTGTTTTTAAATTAATTCTGATTAATGGAATTGTTAGTAATCGTCTAATATATTACTGACAGCGTATCACATCAAGGCCCCACTAGTAAAACAGGCCATGCTGCAGCGCGGGCAGCGCAGCACTACGTCACAGTGGTGGATGGTTGCACTGAAATCTTGCCTTTAAAATCTGACAAACAACTTATTTACCTAAACATACGAAATATAGCGGCGAATCTATCCAGAAGTGTGATGTCATGGATCCTGCAGCATGACCTGTTTTTTAGCAAGGACTTGATCATATACTTTTTTTACACGTTCCTTGCGAGTTCGTAATTAATCCAAGATAACCAACGCTAAGCGATAATAATTCTGACTTATTCTGAGTGACAGTAAGTTTTCTTATCATAAATAGTTTGCTATTATTTCTTTTGGTATCCGTATATAATTATATTTAGCACTTTGAATAATTTTGGATTTTAATGAAAGAAATATTATTTATGTATACAGGCAAAAGTTAATTTTAAGTAACTTTATTAGGATTCCTAATATGTTTAGGATCATAGTATATTTTTGTTACATTCCTCCGACTTTTACATTGCAACCATGTACATTAACTACCATGTTTGTCACCAGAGGCGGCGTTTAGGGGGGGCCAGGGGGGGCAGTTGCCCCCACACTTTCATAAGGAATATTTATCAAAATTATAAAATAGAATTATATCAAAAATAAATCTAGATTTCGCCCCCCCACCTCTCTAGCCCAATCGCCGCCACTGTTTGTCACAGTAATACAAACATAAAAGTAAATCCGATTATCGAGTCAGAAGTCATACAATTTTCGATCAACAGACATACAGCCAGTCAAGCAGCTACGTAGGCGTATCAGAAGATACAAAAGGCATGTCAAGTCTCCGAGACAGCTGATTCCAGCATCTGACAAGACTGCTTTGAATATTGCCAGTTCTCCTTGAGTGCTTCAGACACACATAAATGTACGCAGCTTCAGCTTCCTTATCCACAATGTATAATTTATTCGTGAGTGTCAGTTCTCAGAACGGAAGTGCTTGTAACACATATCTTTTCTTTTAATAACGTACTTTCAGTAACAATCGTTTGACCAAAATAAGTATCAAATAGTATAAAAACAACAAGACTCTTTTGTAAGTTATCAAACAATTACTACTTTCAGAAATGTCCTGAAAGCTGGGTACATCATAGGTAGCCAGTTCTATGCTGTTTTAGAACTTTTTATAAGTTTCTTTCAAGAGGAAAACGATGTTTCGGAAACCGAAGGCAACAAGAAGGAAAATACTTTAAAGTGCTTTTATACATCGTATCAGGAGATTAATATTTTTCATATTTTAAATTAAACTATACCAAAACCTTTATGCATACATGTGTTATATCTGAAATTCTAAAAACACCAGTTAATAAAGAAAATTGAAAATTTAGTTTGTTCAGTAGATTTAAAGATGTCATTTAATAAACACAGTTGAAAATTCTCCGTTGCTTCTTAATAAGAAAAATTACCAGAAAAGTAAGTTTGGAATGTGAATCTAAAACAACGGAGACTCGATGAAAGTAAACCCTGAAAGACAAAGATTGATTTATCCATTTGACA